GCGTGATCCCCTCGTTCCTCCTGATCTTCATTCCCTTCGCTATCCTGCCTCCTTTCTCCTTTTCCCGCGTCGGTCGTCGTCGTCGGTCGGTCGTTGGATGCCCCCGTCTTCCCTCTCGCTGCGTCGACTTGCCGGACGTGACGTGACGTTGCCCGGCGCTTGGGTCTCTCGTCCCATGTTTGCTCTGCGCACATCCACACTCAGCCTCGACAAGCTCGCAGGAAAACATCCTCACCTTTCACATCATACACGACGTAGTGCGCGACGCCCCCGGACCTGTCGCACCGAGAAAGACGCTCGTAAGAATCACCTCGTACCTCGCACAATGCATCTCACCTCACGCTGATGCTACTTCGCCTCTGCCTTGGCCACGCCTTCCCGGTTCCTGAAAGCAGCATCATTCCCTCCCCCTCAAGCAGTCCACTGCCAATCATTACCTCCGTAGGGTACAAAGCTCTCTTTCTGTCTTGGCCCGTCCTCGTTGCAACCTGCGTGACTTTCAATCACCCTTCCCTCCAAGCAGTCTGCTGTATATCACCCACCTTCAACACTTCCCAGCCTTGTTTCGCTGACGCGCTCTGAAAACAAAAACAAACCCCGTTGTCCTCTTGACTGTCCTGACCAGCGATACTGCCCATTGCTACATCCCCACATTGTACTATTTCCTCACTGCCAGTTGCCACCAAACTTGCAAGAATCCACAGTTTGTTGTCTTTCTATTATGTTGGTTCGAACGTATTGCCCTCTTACATAGTGAAATGCCTTTCGATATTCTTCCTGTTTATGATTGTCTGCGATACCTGTATCCCTCTGTCGCTCGCTCCCGAAGCAATCACATCGGCCCACCTCCATTCCATGCACACTCTAAAACTATGCAAACCCACACAGCCCACACATTCTAATCTCTTCACCACTGTCCCTGTCTCGGCCTCTCTGCGGTACTGCACGAAAGTCACCGGACACATCTGCAAGTTGCCTTGGCTCCGTCGCGTGATCCCCTCGTTCCTCCTGATCTTCATTCCATTCGCTATCCTGCCTCCTTTCTCCTTTTCCCGCGTCGGTCGTCGTCGTCGGTCGTCGTCGTCGGTCGGTCGTTGGATGCCCCCGTCTTCCCTCTCGCTGCGTCGACTTGCCGGACGTGACGTGACGTTGCTCGGCGCTTGGGTCTCTCGTCCCATGTTTGCTCTGCGCACATCCACACTCAGCCTCGACAAGCTCGCAGGAAAACATCCTCACCTTTCACATCATACACGACGTAGTGCGCGACGCCCCCGGACCTGTCGCACCGAGAAAGACGCTCGTAAGAATCACCTCGTACCTCGCACAATGCATCTCACCTCCCAGCTGGTATCTTTGAGCTTTTCATCGGAACCTTTGGTCCTGAGAACGCCTCAAAATTTCGGAATGCGTTCGGTCAATGCCATTACTGGTTCGTGTGTGCGTGTGACTTGACAAGAACTCCTGGTGTTTTGTAGCCACAAGTTTCGTCCTGTAACTTAGTCCCCTCCTAATTCCTCAATACAAATAGGAAGTGGGAGGTGGGGGAAGTATAGGAGGTGAGGAAAGAGAGACCGAAGGCAGGGGCAAGAAGAGGGAGAAAGGGGAGGGAAAAGGGAAGGGATAGAGGCATAGAGTGGGAAGAGGAGGGGGGGGGAGAGGGGGGGGGGGGGTTTAACTCTACAACAAACTTGCATTAAACAAACAGAATGCACCCTTTAAGGTTAAGTTCTTCACTTTTATTCACATGACTCACAGCACCATCGTCTCACAATGTGACAATGAAAATGCTAATAATTATAAGTTTCACTACACACAGCTATATGAAATATTAATGTTTTGATGCCCTACCAAAGAAAATCTTTCGATTCTCGTAGAAAAAAGAGTTTGAAAGGGATCTTTCATAATTAGGATAAAGTACAGATCTCCATCTGACTCTGCTCCCTTCTTCAATCCATTTTAAAACACGATACCCCGCTGCATCCTTCCTACCCCATCCGTAACCTCTAGTGCAGTAAACAGCACAGGCTGGGATAATAGGTAATCCACACGCATTTCATCATGGCTTAGAAGAACTCCACTTCCATTGCAGTCTATTTGACGACTTCATTTCCACTCTACACTCGACATGCCTCTGTCTAGCGCATAAACCTCAGCGCTTACATGGCAGTGAGATTGAGTTGGGAAGAGGAAGAGAAGGGGGGGAGGGGGGGGGGCAGAGGGGGGAGGGTATCCACACAGGAAGGACGGTATTTACGTGGAGCGGGGGGGGAGGGAAAAACCAACCTTGACCTGCTATCCCTCCCTTACCTTTTTATACTCCAGCACCCGATTACCACCCCTACCCCCACATTTACACTACCCTACCGCGGAAATGAAGTTTCTCGAATGGAGTACCCTACTCTAGGATACTGACGAATTTGAACAGAAAACTAGGGGTGTCGAAGGAATACAAGACCACCCACCCCTTCGATGCTTACTTTCATCACCCACCTCCACCTTCCGCAAAGTGCTGCAAGAATGGAGCAAGAGTGGGTCAGCAAGAGGTAAAGGCAAAGTCCATAAAATAGTTTTAAAAGATGCTTACCCCACCCCCTCAACCACCTGGCAAGGCTTACAATTACCACAGATCACCCCACAATATCCCACCAAGTACCCACCCTTCGGATAGGCAAATGAATTTGGATTCGTTTGTGGAGTAGGTTCTCCTCCACCCCCTTCATGCCATCTCAGTACCCTTGTACAAAAACTCAGACTACCCCTCTATATTACACCATGACAGTACATTTTTGTATCCACCCCGGGTACATCACCTACCCTACCTATGGATGTGCGACAAACAACTTTTTGTTCCTGTGCAAACTCAGCAAACTTTTACGTTTCACCACCCACCCTACCTTTTCCCTTTGAAATTATATTAAAATTACCCCTCCCAAGTACCAAAGGTACTCTTTTAGTACTTACCACCCTACCCTACGAAATACCTTTGAGCACCCCCTTTTTAGTATGATTGGGGGTGGCCTCCATCTGCCGGGCGTATTGGTGCGGAGGCCGCGGTCATCAGGATCCAATCGTACCGGCTGTTTTGTATGCAAACAAGGGGGTCCTTTCCCAGGGGTGGCCGAAGTCAGGTACAAATTTAAAATGACTAGGAACTTTTTCAAAACCGAAGGAGATACAAACAAGCCCCAAAAATATTGAACATCAATTAAAACATTTGAAAATTACTACACATCTTTCAGCTTTCTCCTTTTCTTGGTCTGAGCTTGAAGGCCCTCTCAGCCAACTTGGCAAAGTTTGAGCTGTCTGAGCTGTCAGTATCGGGAGTGCCCGGGCCCGGGCCCGTCAAATCGCCGGCTCTCACTGTCAGTATCGGCGGGCCCGGGCCCGTCAAATCGCCGGCTCTCACTGTGACTCAACGGCTGGGGGACAGCAGTCGGCAGGATTAGGTTTGGTTCTCGCTGTCTTTTCTCTTCTCGCCGTTTGGCCTGTGCGACAGTGTCAGGGTCAAGCCTCCTCGACTCTCCTGATTGTCCTCGTACTGATTTTTCACTTCACTTTGAGTAAAGCTGAGCCCGGGCCCGCAGTGGCCCGCCCGGGACTGGGTCCGGGTTGGGGGCTAGTGGGGGGGGGGGCCGACTGGCAAGGGAGGCGGGCCCGGTAAAAAAGAATCGGGCGCAAAAGCAGATGCAGGATGGCGAAGGTTATCGGCGATGCTGGATTGAAGGTGAGGATGAAATTAAGGATAAGGGTGAGAGACGGAGGCAGATAGCTCCGAATCAACTTGACAACAGCTGGGATCTAGTATGCACTTGCGAAGTAATGAGCTTGCGAAGTAATGAGTGGTAGGGAGGGAAAGATAAGGAAATGAGACTTAAATGAAGAGAGCATGTGGCAAGTGAAGGAGCGACCTTATCATGAATGATCTTGTTTAGGCAAAGGCATTGGACTCCGAGCAGCGAAAGAGGCATGGTTCGGGTTGTTATCCGTGTGGAAAGTGAAGGGTAACCCCCGCAGTTTCAATGCGGCGACACCATTCTCCAAGATGTTCCGCTTGTGTGCTCGACGATCAAGCACTCCGAATGGTGTATGACTTAACTTGTCGATCTGTCGCTAATGTCCCCCTGCTGCAAAGCCTTGTACTCTGCTTGGGGTGCATGTCTTGCGTAGCTTTCCCGCCGATCTTATCAGGTCCCGGCGCTTGCTTTCGTCGCCGCGCCTGAGCGCCATGAACAGAGCTGGTCTGCCCTTGCGATGAAGTTTTTATGTGCCCAAGAGGTGCTGCAGCCCATGTTAGAACCATGAGGAGTTGTTGAGATGCAACTGCCACAAGGTTGCGGGGTAGGATTCTGCAGTGGGGCATGCCGGACAGCAATGGAGGGTTTGCATCGGGTGTTGTGCACCAGCGCGACCGAGGAGATGAGAGTGCTCCAGCAAAGTGAGTACTGGGAGATCACGCGCTTCAGGTCTGGTAGGATGTCAGACTTGATACGAGTGAACGGCAACGTCCAGGTTGTACTGCTATGCTGTTGCCCGCATCTTCGCAACGTACATGGTTTGTCAAGGCTTGTTCCCTTGACGTTGCCTCCACCTTGACCCACGAATCGAGGAGACTCTTAGGAAATGATGCATGCTCTTGGTGTAGACGACAGGGAGTGAGGAGGATGCTCAACAAGTTTTCGGAGGCTTCCATTCCCCAGAGGAGGTGAGATGGGTTGCAAGTCATGTTCCAAACCATTCTCATGACCTCCTAGTTGTATTCATCCGCAGTGATTCAAAGGGAATTCAAGCGCAAGGTCAAGATACGTGTGCAGTCTATCCCGCAGCTCATGGTTGCTTTTAGATGCAAGAGCCCATGTCGCTACTTTCCTCGCACTTCCTGCGAATCATTCCCGGTTCGTCAAAACCTGTGAATCATCTGTCTCTGAAACGGGTTCCAGATCTTCAGGAATGGCCACAGAAACTGCAAGAATATTTGCAAACAGAAAGGTCAAATACAATTG